TATTCTTTACTGAAAGCTAAAGATTTGAGTTAAATGTTTTTCTGTTAGTTTGTGTGGCAAAAGCTGTAGTATTTATATTACAGTTTTATACTCCGATTTAAATAGAAATGTTGAGCATCAGTAGCTGGAAGTTACGCAATAGCAAGGACTCGCGGGTTGCATGACARGGATGCACAGTGGAGTGCAGGGACCTTGGCACATCAGTTCAGTCGAACTGTAATGCATTTAGTGCCTACGTTTGTCACAGTTAAGATACAGAATATTTGTAAGGAAAGTTAGGACAAGAGGAAACGGCCACAAATTGAAGCACCAAAAGTTCCATAGGAACTTAAGAAGTTGAAACACAGGAAGTTGCACCTGCATGTGAGGAAGAACTTCTTCACTGTGAGGGTGACAGAGCCCTGGAACAGGCTGCCCAGGGAGGTTGTGGAGTCTCCTTCTCTGGAGATCTTCCAAACCCGCCTGGATGCCACCCTGTGCCACATGYTCTAGGTGACCCTGCGTGTGCAGGGGTGTTGGACTAGATGACCTGTAGAGGTCCCTTCCAACCTTAAAGATTCTATGGCTCTATGAAAGATATTTTTAAAGGGTTTTTAAACTAAGAAGTATTGCTAAAGCAATTGGTCAGCTGAAGAAATGAATTGTGTCTGAGTATGGGACAGCCTCGAGCACCAGCTGTGCCGAAGCGAACAGGAGTTGTCAGCGCAGCCGGCTCGGCCCGCGCGGCCATGGCTGCCGCCTCACGCACGGCGGCCGCCGCCGCCTCACGCGTCGCCGCGCCCGCGGGCTGGGCAGCCACAGCGCCTCGAGGCGCAGGCCACGAGTGTGGCACAGAGCCTGCATGGGCCCCAGAGCAGGGCCTGCGCGGCCAGGCTGCGCACACGCATCTCCTCTGGCCTTGCTGCCCTGCCTGCCCTCGCGCAGCGCGCTGGAGGAGCTCGCCCAGGTTCTCCTGCTCGCAGACAGCCAAAGACGACGCACGGAGATGAGTCCTGTGCCGAGCGYGTGCGGTGCCGTGAACTGTCGCTCCATCGGGGCTCCTCTTGCATCAATTTTGCTGCTTTTCACGATTGCAAMACTGCATGATTTGTGTTTTCCCGTACTCTCCGTTCATTGCGTAATTTCATTTCTGAATTAGTTCGTTGTCTTCTGCCCATGTGTCTTCCCTGTTCTTTTTCTACATATGCTAGAACTTCGTGTTTCTCCAACAGGAACATAAATATTTAAAGTGARGAAATCATTTGTGCAGATGGTCTGTGCAGAGGTGGAGTGGTCTACTGTTTCCCTTGCTACCTCTCCCCATCCCAGTGAAGTTTGTGGAAAGAGCAGTGTTTATGGACAGAAAAATAATAATTGGCCTTTTAAAGCATAAATTTATCAAAAACGATTATAAGGATAGAAGAATATATTCRAAATGATCGGCATGTCATTTTTTTTTAATATAGTAACACTGTGGTACATAAGTAGCACAAGGGAGTCGGTCTTTACCTTTCCTCAAAATTATGGTGAAGGTAAAAGCAAAGGTGTTCTGAAAAGAGTAGTTTTATAAACTTAGTTTGGACATGGTGTAAATGACGTGGAATTGTGTAAAATTTAATCCTTGAACAACTATGAAAAAAACTTGGGAAAGGCCCACTAGATAAATTACACAATGCTGGCCTTGCTTTTAAATCTACTTTCCCCAAGGAGATGATGGATCATTTTGGCCTTGCATGTAATGCCCAAAATTTGGGTTTTGTGCTAACAATGGGAATGCTAAGCTTTTTTTTTTTTTTTTTAAGTACTGTCAGAAAAATAAAAGCTTAGCATTCTTACAAAAATAAGATGAGATCAAGTCATAGAAGTTGAAGCCAAGATTTTGTCATGGTTGCATTTTTGTCTCTAGACTTTGTATACTTCTAATAAAGGATATATTTTTAAAGTATGATTTAGAAACCAAGAGTTCACATTGCTCTGTTTGGAGATGGGGAGGCTTGTACCCTCCCAAACATTTTTTTAACTGTGGAAAACACATAAACTTTCAAGTTCACTGCAAATCAGTTTTATAAGGAGGAYAAAAAAGGCCTTTCTTCAAGCTATGTGATTTTCTTTCTCTGCACCTTTAAAAAATGGCAGGCAGCATATTCTTGAAGGCTTGTAGAAAACATCAAATATGTTGTAGTAGGCTTAAAATCGCTGCATTTTTTTCTCAACAGGTGTCCACTTTGGTAATTCCTTTTTTAGATCATAAGATTGACATGAATTTGTTGCTTGAGTGAGTGTTGGGGGTAGCTTTTTTCCTAGTTAGAGTGGACTAGAATAAATCCTGCATTCCTCCCAGCTACTTCCTGTAGTTCTTCCTTCTCTAAATAAATAGCATTAGTGCAAATTATTACAAATTTACATCTTGGCATTGTTTGTTGAAACAAAGATAAAATTAGTATTAATATTAAACTTAATATTACTGTTTCCTGTTTTATATGAATCTTTTTAGTAAGTCTTTAGTGAAAGGTAATTATGTTTTGTAGTTACCCATCCTTTGACCTATACTTAWTTTTATCATGCTATTTCAAGGTCATATATGACAAAACTACATTCAATTGCTCTTGCCCTTCAAGTATTTAGAAAATTCAAAAGTAACTTTCTCCCTTTGCGTATTGCTTATTCCTTTGTACTGATTTCCTTTTCTTCACCTCTAAGTTTAAGGTACAGAGGAGAATTTTTCTTTCCTGCTACTGTGGTGCAGGAAGCATCAGATGTAGCTCCTGAAAAGGAGACCTGCATGCGATTTGTTGTTGTGTTTTGGGGATTGGTTGGTTTCAGTGGTGTTTTCAACTATGGGATCACTAGGCCTTGCTGAAGATGTGATAGACCAGGCCCTTCCAAAGAGAGGAAATGTCATTTCAGTGTCTGTGGCAGAAGGGACTCCAGTTGGCTTTGCACGGGCATTGCTCTCGGGGTGCCAGTCTCTGACTCGGGTTCTTCTGCATTGTGGTGCTCGTGCCCTCTGCTCCCTGTTTGCTTGTCAGGGACTGCAGCCTAAGGAGACAAAAATGCCTTGTRCAGAGCAAAGGGGAAAGACCAGGGAATTCTTGCCACATCTAGGCATTTGTAGGAATATAGGAATGGGGGAAGGTTGTTAACTGACTGCACTAATGTTGCAGTAAAGACTGCAACTATGGCCTGTTCCAGCAGGGAACGTTGCCAAGTGTAAAYCCAAGGCTGAAAAGAATCTAAAATCAGTGATGCAAAATCAAGTGATATTTTCCCCTTTGTTTTTAATGGGAAAATAGTAAACTAGCTAATTGATAGTAGTAATATCATATAAAGGAAGTTTATCGGAGAAGGGAAGGCTCAGGTGATGTTTGGAGGAATTTTTCTGCTTTCCAGAGGAAGGACATAAAGTATGTGATGAAAGTGAGTAATTCTGAGGATGTTTTAAGACTTCCCTCAGATCACCACTAGGGAAGAATTCCTGGAAAGCAAATTGTATTTAAATGAAACAAAATGGTGATTCCAGTTGTATGTCATATAAATATCAGGGCCTTCATTACATAAGAAAAGACAAGGCATTTGAATAAGCCTATAGAAATGSATAAGTGGTACCTGCTTTGCTCTCATCAAAAAATGAGGGGAAGGAATATTATTACTCTTTATTAGAACATAGCATATGTTTACCTTTGCATAACCTAATAAAAGGAATGTGTTTACTTAGGGGAGACAATTGCATGTGACAAAAACAGTTGGTACATTTGGATATTTCCACAGGGTCTGAGTACTTGGGTGGGAAAACCTTCTACTGCAAGACATGAAACTTGCTATTAAAGGAATATGTGGAATTATAATCCACAGGAATGTGAAGCACATGCAGTCTAGAAAAGAAGAAAAGCAGATGGTAGAGGAGCACATTGTGTGTTTGGTACAATGTATTAGAAAAGAACATTACCTTAGACTTCTACTAGAATCTACTTAGATTTTAAATAGAATCAATGAAGAACTGGAAAAATTGGGAAATGGAAATTTATTTTTACATTTTAAAAATCTGCAGTGGTCGTCAAGTTTGTGTTTGAAATGGATAAAGACCCCTAATTTTACAACTTGAGAAAGCTTGAGTGTTGTCTTTATAAAAGACTAGCTTCCTAAGCAGAGCTAGGAAATAATATACTACTAATAGTGGTCACAAGACCAATCTCTGTATTAACAAAACCTGGACTTGTTGAGTCACTGATGATGATTCAAGGAAGTCTAATTTTCACGTGAGTTAGTTATGGAAGTAATATCAACGCAAGGAAGTGATATCTCTGCACAACCTCCACTTTTAATTTTGTGCGTTTTATGTTAAAAAGTGATGATAAAAGTTCTGGATGGATGGATGAAATGGTTATACATTGATTATTTGGTGTACAGTAAGAGGAATAAAAATATGGATGTAATTTGAGGTTCTTAACTTTGAAAAGGCAGGCTGTCCTGTTTTAAGTCATAGATTTGAAGAATTTTAAGATTTACAGATGGGAGAGTTACTGACTTACAGAAATGTTGAAGTATGTGCCTCAACAGAAGGAGTAAACAGGAACTTTTAAGGAAATGCTCTCAAGCATTGCTGGATGAATAAGAAAGAAATTAGAACTAGTTAGAGACTATAAGGAATAGGGATAAAGAGATAGCAGACACAGCTCTATCACAGGAGTCAGGAAGTGTTGACAGCCCTTTTTGACTTTAAGAAAAGACTTAGAAAAAGGATATTAAAGTAAACTTGAAAATATTTTTGTAAACATTTTTTTATATACGTAAGAATAAGTGAAGTCCCTGAAATATTGGGCATGAATGGATGAACATTTTTTCACTGAATCCAGTGAAAATTCCTTCTTTGTCTGCAGAAACTTATTTCCCTTAAATATGGTAACTGAAAACATTAAAGCATCAATTATCCTATAATGTCTTTTTTTTTTTTTTTTTTGATATTTGAAAAGTGCACTTACTTGCCTAATATCTTTTCTTTTCTCCTCCTTCCCCCTTTTTAGGAATTGGCTCTCCGTAGCCAGCTTCCAACAATGGAACAAGACGGTGGTTCTCAAAATCCCGTGTCATCTCCCGGAATGTCTCAGGAACTGAGAACAATGACTACAAATAGCTCTGACCCCTTTCTTAACAGGTTTGTAGGAGTAGCTATTGGAGGGGGGAAAAATTGATTTAAGATTCTGTTTAGTACATGTAATAGTTTATTTTGAACATCTGTCTGTGCCAAAAGCCACAGCTGTAAATGAATCTTTCCTTAAATGGCAAGTCTAGTAAAAGTTGAGGATTAAAAGCTGTCTCCTGTGGGAGGAAGTAGTCTGTTCAGACTTGTAGGAAGGTTTTTTATTCAAAGTCATAACATGTTTGCCTCTGCATAATCTGTTGACTAACAGTCATTTCAAATTACTGACTCAGAAGAATTTGTGAATAGCTTGCTGTGAGATCAAATGAACTGTGAGGCTCATTTAGAACTATGCCTGGAGGTTCATTTTAAGGTTTCTCCCTTCACCCCTTCCCTACACTTTAGATATTTAGCCTAACAGTATTTTTACTTTGTTAATGTTATGTCTGCAAATAGTRGCATGTTTTTCTTTAAATATTTTTTATTTGAAGTTTTCTCTTAATTCAAGAGTTGCAAAAGTTTTTGCAAGATAGACTCTTCTGAATAACTTTTCCCCTAAACCCTCTGAGTTAAGTAGTGTTTGTTTTGTTGGAAATAATAATTCTGATTACAGCCTGCAAATGCTGTAACTATTGCGGTTATGGGCAAACTGTTGCGACTTAAGATACGTCACATCCATATTTTTATGTAACAACTTGGAGGGGGGAAAAAAGATCAAACTGATAAAAGAATAAGCCATGAGCCATATAATTTTGCAAAATCTGCTCCATAGTATGAAKCAGTTAAACTTCAGTCAATTTAAGGGACTTGTGTTGAAATACTTGATTTGGTAGTAGTTCATCGGATTATTTTTGTCAGCACTATATAGCAGTGGCAACTCAGTATCGCCTAGCATAAGAAAGCGAAATTATCTATTTCTGCATTACCTCGAGATGCTAGCCTAGCATTAGGGTGCTTATTGTTAGTGCCCAGGAATTAGAACAATAGAATTATATAGATTAGAATTAGAACAACCTTCTTCTCTTAAAAGGTATATTACTATATTCATGAAAAAGTAATTAAGATTCTTCACTATTCTTTCAATGTAAGTCATAACTTTCATGTTTTTGCCATCAATATAGTTTGCGACCTACTTGTAAGGTAAGAGGTCGATACTTTGTAGTGTTTGCATGATTTTACAGCTGGGCAAGCTTAGATATCTGCTGTTATTCTAGAAAATCCTTTGTGCGCTTATAAAATCACTCTCTTTTTCTTCCTTCCTTCCTATTCTTTCAGATAACTTATATATGGCCATCTCTCATAGTTAGCTTTTTCATCCTTGAGGAAATATTTTCAGTGTATGCAACTTTTGCAGTGGTTGATATTCTGTTAGCTTTGTTTACCTCTGCTTTTTGCCTTTTCCAAGAGACTTCTCCATTTCTCTCTCTCCCTCTCTCTCTGTACCATCCTTATTCTGATTCTCAAAACAAGTAAAATCCAGTCAGGTGGAGGTTGTGCTCTCTCTTGCCAATGGAGTCTAGTCATTCTGGTAGTTTGGGTGGTTGTATCTGTCACATTGTATCTATCAAATTGTATCTGTCACAAGTTGGCCCTTCCTCTCTGCACAGAAACCACTGCCTGTGCTAATGTTTTGGGAGAGGGAGAAAAGGTTCCTTCTCAAGGTACACTGTGCTTGCATGGATCAGAGAAAACCAAATCAAGACAGTAGGCCTTGCCTGTTGAGAAAAAAGTCGTGGTTAAATTGCTGTAGAAATAAGTACTGTTTTCAAGTTTGGGGCTTGTACTTCAGGAAGATTATCACCTACATGGACAAATCTGATTATAAGACTTCGTTTTTATTAGAGGGAGGAGTTGTCCTCCGTGAAATTCACTCAGAAGTCTTTTGTGATCTTTACCTATGCTGAGATGTTCAACCTGGAGAAGAGAAGACTGAGGGGTGATCTTACAGGAGGCTCTGTCTGGATATGAGGAGAAGCTTCTGTACTGTGATAGTGGCTGAACCCTGGAGCATGTTGCCCAGAGAAGTTGTGGCGTCTCCGTTCTTGGAGACACTCAAAAGGCACCTGGACATGATCCTGGGCAACAAGCTCTAGCTGACCATGCCTGAGCTGGACTAGATGATCTCTRCAGGTCGCTTCAGCCTCCACTGTTGTGAGATTAGGGGAGTTAGAAATGAGAAGAAGGCCACAGGGACAAATTCAAACCTTCACTTTTTGGAAAAGTTGATAATTAGTGTGGACTATTTACAACAAAGCACAGTTACAGTCTGTCCACTTGGAAATGGCCAACCACATTTGGCTGCTTGGATTGACTTCTTAAGGGAGGTTGATCTTACCCCAGAGAAAATGATGAAAATCTGCAAAATTTGTACCTGATGTGAGCTCAAAATATTTTCATGTGCATTTTGCTTTGAGCACTGTCCTCTTCTGGATGACATACTGTGACTACTGAATGACTTACTGCATATTGCTAACAGAAAGAGGAACTTCTGAAAGGACGTTTGTTGGTATGAATAGCTGTCTCTGCTGCATACAACAGCCCAGTAATTTTGCTCCAAAGATCTCCATAATGTCCCTTAAATTTCAGGCCTACAGTGGTACTTTTATCTCATTAAGCTGCATAAATTTCCTGATGAGACTGTATTGTTTTGGGTGCTGAGGCTTGATGGATATCCAAAGTTTAAGTAGTCTGAATATTTTCCACTGCCTACATAAAAAGAACACCCAAAGAGTATCAGAAAACGATGCTATTTTGGAGCAGATTAAGATGATATACAGTGGTGTGCTCATTTATCCACTAAATCCTTTGCCTGTGTCTTTAGTATTTATGGTCTTTGCATATTTTATTTTTAGAATGGGACGTTGTGCAGTACAATCCTTACTAGGCGGTTTCACCTTTTGATTTAACACTTTGTTTATATATTTTTGTCTATTTGATTATATATTGGTAGTAGTGATAATACTCTGTTTAACTCCTCCAATTTTTGCTTTCTGCTTTTGTACATGGATATTTTTAGCAGGTATTTCTTAAAGGAACATTCACTCTTCCTTGGATAATGCTGCTAAGTTGCATGCAATAATTATGAGTGGTGTGGCTGTTAATTGAAGGGAAGGGATCCACATTGAAATGAAGGGCAGAGAAAGGGCACGTGAAGGAGTGAAGGAGTGATTTGAAAGAAAAGAAGTGTTGGCCATTTGAAGTGACAGCAGCAGCCAAAAAACCTTCTCAGCTAGAGTGGTTTTGTTCAGTGCAGTCTCAGTTGGTTTTAGCTTTTCAACTCACAAAGTCGGACATTTTTTCACAGAAGTTTTAAGTGTCTTGCTTATTTCAATATGACTTCTGCAGGTTTAAGGAAAAAAGATGTAATATACTGAGTGGTTATCAGATGTATGGTAATATTATTCTTAATTTTTTTGTGCTATAACTATATAGAAATACACAACGCAAAAATGACTCTTACAACGCAAAAAAGACTTTGTAAAATCCAATGTGTTCGTGGTTGATAGCATTTTACTTGCATCCAGTGTTGAACAGCTGTTCARCTACCTCCTGTTGGCTCCTCCATGCTTAACAACAAAGTATATGCTTATACACGTCRTGAGCACATTACAAGAAGGACCAGTATTTCTTCAGATGCTAATTTGAGGTGCACATGCAGCTAAACTCCATTTCATATTCAAGCTGGAAAATCAGTAAGGGTTCTTGGTGAACGCTGCCACAAATGAGGAAATGTGAAAGATTTGAAAACACCCTGTGGAGCTTGCTCGTAGTGAGCACTATTGCAGGGTTGTGCTTGTGCAGCTGGGACTGCTGCATCTTCAGGCTCTCGGAGCTTGAGGCTCGCAGACTTGTGCCCATCTTGTCTTGCACAGCAAGTAGTTTAAGGGAAAGAAAGAGTTTTGAAAATAATTATTCTACTTAAAGTAATGACTTGGAGTCTTGCATGTAGCTTTTCGTGGTTCTTCTACTTGTAGGGAAGTAGTTTATCTACTTGATAAGAAAGTCAACGACTAAATTCCCTTCTGAATTTCAAAATTTTCCACCACAATGTTGTTGGTTTTGCTTTTTCCTCTAGTAGAGATGGCAACAAGAACACAACATATATAGGGCCTTTTGCCACCTCTGCTTTGTTAACCGTTCTGTCAGCAAGATCATTTGGCACAGGGTTTGTTTGCAGGATGACTTCTGTACCAGTGTTTGATTTATATTAGTGCTCCGACGTGTATAACTGAACTAGTAGTAACAACAGTGGGAAGCAATTGAAGAATTGCTTGAGTAGTTCCAACTCTATTTATAACAGAACAGAACTAAAAATAATGTCAGTGGGTGATTAAACAACAGGACATGAGCATTTATGATTTTTTTTATCCTTATGAAAGAAGTGTGAATTGCTATAACCATTATAAAGTTTTACAATCATTACAGACTATCTGTGATACATTTGTAATGGGTTTGTAGTGGCTGTGGGTGTGTGTGAAACTGCTTTTAAAACAATGCAGAGCTTTGATAGGCACTTAATTAAAGCTGCTTAAGTATGTATGTTCTCATCAAGTAAAATTGAATCCAAATAATAAGGTCTTAAGTGGTAAAAGCCTTCATCTCATACAGTCAAAGGCTCCAGCTTCTGGTTAGAATACTGCATTTCTTGTGGTAGCAATGCCATCAAAGCCCTCAGATTTCTTCCAAAACTTGCATCTTCTGATCACCTAAACTTTTTATCCTCAGTACCCTACCCTCAATTTTTTGCTGCTTTTCCTCTGTTATAGTGGAACATATCACTCCAGAGATGAAAGCACAGACAGTGGACTTAGCATGAGCAGTTACAGTGTGCCCAGAACCCCCGATGACTTTCTGAACAGTGTTGATGAGATGGATACAGGTTTGTTTTTGCTTTTTGTTTACTTTTATGCATGTTTTTCAGGAATGCTTGTGCCCATTGAGCGCTCTGCCCCTTGCCATGGAAGCTGTGGCACTTCCCAGCATTCTGCCACCTTCTCTTCAGAAGTATTTTAGTTGGATTTGTGACAAATATACCTGTAATAAATTCTATCCAGGAGGAGCTCATAATTGATATCACTTCATAATTAAGCAGAAATTGAGTGACCATTTGCCTATTTGAGTGYTAATATTGCTTGTTTTGAGCTGAGAACACTACCTTATCCGTTACTGCCATGTAATATTGCTCCAAAACACTTGACTTGTCGGAGTTGTCTTTTAAGTATAAAAAATAACAAAAATAAAATATGATTAGCAGAGATTAAAGTCCAGAAGTGGAAAAGGTTGAAACAAAGGCATGTTCCTTTGTATCTCTGCAGTCATGTCATCTATGGTATTGGGATAGATTTCTGTGAATCTGCCTGTATGATATGAAGGAGCTGGGGCTAATTTTAGGCTAGTTGTCCTGATAAATAGTGGGTTTGGTAATTCCAATGTGGTTAATATCCGTCTTGCTTTCTGTTGTGACTAGGTGACAGTATCAGCCAAAGTAACATACCGTCCCATCAGAACCGTTTCCCAGACTACCTTGAAGCCATTCCAGGGACGAATGTGGACCTTGGGACACTGGAAGGAGATGGGATGAACATAGAAGGAGAGGAACTGATGCCAAGTCTGCAAGAGGCTTTGAGCTCCGACATCCTTAATGACATGGAATCTGTCTTGGCAGCCACCAAGCTAGATAAAGAGAGTTTTCTTACTTGGTTATAGAGGCCTCAGGGAGACTGAATTCTAAATCTGTGAAGGATCTAAGGAGAATAGGACATCTGTAACTGAAGTTCAGAACAAGCCAATGTGGCAAACTTTGGCTTGTGTTCAGAGAAAGTAAATGAACAAACACCCAACAAGATTATTTCATTTTGCTCTTCCTTGTCCATCGCTGCTGTTAAATATTGCTGACTTCTCTCCACAGTTGACTCTGAAGAACAGACACCTTCTTGATCTTTCTCTCTTGCTGTTGCAACTACTGTTCAAGGGGGGTGGGAAGGGATGATGGGCCCATTTGGATGACGAGCCTGTTTGGATGACGAATGCCATTCCTTTTGTCCTAGTGCGCGCTTGCATATCAGCTCATCTAAGTCCTCGGATTTGCAAGTTCATTTCTGCATGTCAGTGCTTGTAGTTTGCTCAGCTTGTTGTCTCCTGCTGCCTGTGGCAAGTGGTAAAACGTGACATACAGGGGTGACAAGCCAAAAATGATGTATCTGGTCAAAAGAAGTCAATACTGATTTGGAGATTCGACTTAAAGGAGGGCAGAAGACTGTTTGACATTAAGTGTTTCCACTAATAGCTCTTTCATTAGTCACGAAGTGCTCTTGTTCATATTTTATGTTATAGTAAGTCATGAGTCATTTTACATAGAAACATATATGAACTTTGATTGTTGCCACATATTCTAGCCTAACATTTGTCAGAAATAGTTTGATTATTTTTGTTAGTTGTTTTAACTGTAGCTGTAGGGCGGGAAGTAATTATAGGTGTTCTTTTTTTAATAGTGAAATCTAAGGGTTTTTTTTTCCTGATTTCACACAGTCTTATTTAAATCTGAATTGTCTGCTTTTTTATACCCAAAACATGCTTATTGTAGCCTAATAAGCTAGTGAGTACATAATACAGTGTGTTTTGCCTGTAACTTTTTTTAAAGGCTAGCTTTGAATGTAATCATTAGAATTCATGACCAGTGGCTTATTTTTCATGTTTATTTGCAAAAATTTTGAATTAGAATCTGATCTGCAGTGTAAAAGTTGGGATTCTAAGTATGGTATGTACAGTTTTTAAATGCATTTAGAAGTAGCAGGAATGGTTTTTAAATGACAGATGSACCTATAATCTGTCTCTGGTTTTCAGTTTCGATATCTAAGTGAATTTAGCTTTTAAAATCCATAATGGAAGAAAAACTTGCGGAAAGCTTCTCTTAAGTTAGCATGGAAAAATAGTTTCATCTACTGATTTCACTCAATGTTGCAATGAAAATGCTGGCACACCAAAAGACAAAAAGTCCTCATTGAAACTCTTAGATAAAATAGTTTGATATCAAATTCTGCTTGGTGAAAAATAAGCCCTGGGCACTATATGTAGAAGACTGTAAAGATACGTGGTAGATGGTGACATGAGCAGGTAATGACGTGTATATTAGTAGTAGAGCTTAGCATGGGGTAGAGGTGAGTATGAGTTACCTATATTTTAACAGGAAAAGATGTGTCACTAAGTTTACTTCAACAGGAAAAGCTGTGTCACTGAGTTGTCTGCAGGAGCTGACACCGTTTCCAAAGAGTATTTTTAAATGAACAAAGTGAGTATGAATCAAACTTTCAGTATAAGCTATGAGGTTTTGTGATTTGTCTGTCTGTTTGTTGTTGTTTTTCCGACGGATAATGGTGAGTCACCAGTTAGCACCTCTGGAATCAAGGGCCTGTCGCCTTCCCGAGCGGAGCCCTCGTTGTCACGGGTGGTAACAAGGCTGCAGAGCCGCTGCGTGAGCCTGGAACTCGGCTTTGGGAAATCTCAGCTGACAGRGACTTCCTGGGGGCAGCGTGGGTTTTTAAGGACTTGTTTATCTTTCAAGTTAGGAATAAATCAGTAATACAAAAAATAACCCATATAATAACCTGGATTCTTATATATATGCTTCAGGGACAGATATGTTTTAGAACAATTTAAGGTGTGAAAACTCTGAGATGAGAGTTTCTTTTATTACAAGCCGAAGWGGCAGAGATTTGAAATCTGCCCCACTAAATACAATTTTACTACTTCACCTAAGTAGTACCTTAGTATTTGAAATAAGCAAAATTATGGCTTGTAGTGGAATACAGGCAGGTTTTTAAACACTGATTTTCAAAACACATCCACAGTGACATATGTTCTGCTACACCTTCAGTGATTAATAGGCCACTTATATTGTGCAATGACACGGTAGCTCTTAAAGCAGTGTATTGTGTCCAAGATAAGGATTTTAGTAGCATTTTTACAGTTCCATTATGAATTCTGTCTTCTTCCCTTCAGGAAAAAAAATGACACTAAGCTGTTAAATATAACTTGAATTGCCTGACATAAAACAACAGCAAGGACGTTCAGAATTCCTTCCATTTCAGTCGTCTGCCCCCCTTGCATCAGGGCAGAGTAGCACGGAGTGCTCTGTGCGCAGACCCCTGCCTTGCTGTGCCAAGGTGCAACATGGATGAGTACGGAACAAATTCTGTTTCCTTGCTTTCGTGTGTTTGACAGCTTTAATATTTGAATGTTTTCCTCTCATTGTAGAAACACTAAATGGCTTATACTGTATTTGGGTAGCACTGCTTAGGGTAGATGCTGACAAACTGGGAATCCTTGAACTGCTCTAACACTAACTCATTTTTGTGATACTTATTTTAATGGATTTTTTAAATACATTTCCGTTCTTTTGTTTGTTAGGAAACATACCATAGAGATGCTGTATTGTTGGCAATCAACATTAATTTGGATTTCTTTTTTTTTATTCTGCAAGTGCATTGTTTGATGAAGTGGTTAAAATTGTTTGAAATGCAAAAGTGTTTGGGGTAGTATTTTATACTGATGTATATATTGAAACAAATCATTGTAATAATTGCAGTAGCTTTAGGTTACAACTACACTACACGCAGAAGGCCGAGGGAGCTGCCGGGAGCTGCTGCGCGCGGGTGGCGCCGGCACGTGTGGGTCACGCGTGGCAGCGCTCGGCGTGGGACACGCGGGTCACGCATGGCCCTGCTCGGCGTGGGACACGTGGGTCACACAGGGCCCTGCTCGGCACTGGGACACGCGGGTCACGCATGGCCCTGCTCGGCACTGGGACACGTGGGTCACACAGGGCCCTGCTCGGCACTGGGACACGCGGGTCACACAGGGCCCTGCTCGGCACTGGGACACGCGGGTCACACAGGGCCCTGCTCGGCGTTGGGACACGCGGGTCACACAGGGCCCTGCTCGGTGTTGGGACACGCGGGTCTCGCGCGGCGTCGGCGGCCGCCCGTGCAGCAGGAGAGGCGGCGGCCGCAGCGCGGTGCACGGGACGCAGCTTCCACACGGCTGGTGAACTTAGTGCTGCCGCAGCCTTCTCACTTACAAGCGTTTTCTTTCTTTGTTTTTTATACCRATTAGCAGGCATGCCTCTGTCAAGTAATTTGTTTTCTGTATCCGGAAAAAATACTCTCCACATTTAGAATGTTATATGTTAGAGAACTCTTAAATGCACCCCTGTCAAAATTATATATATTAGTTACCAATGTTACTTTTTTAGTTATGAGCATGACTGTAAGTTAGGTACTTAAGTACATTCTGTTACATTATTTTTTCTTTATGTAATACTTTTTTCAGTTGTTTTATTTGGCATAAATATATACTTTGTGCTTAAAAATCTTTGTTTGTTTTTAACATTCAATAGTATGTAAAGATCCCCATTTCCTCCAGTAAGATGGATGCGCTGAGTTGTTGGAATTCCTGTCGTAGTTTGTCTGTTCTCACCCCCTCGTAGCAGTTTCTGTGGACTCCAGTCCTGCAAACATTGTGTCCGAGCTGAGCTCCAGGACAGAGGAATCGCGCCGAGGTCAGGGGAGCTCAGCATTGAAGTACATCCTGAGAGAGCTGGCGATGCTGAAGAGGAGGTGACCCCGTTGCGCCTGCTGCAGCTAGTGCAGACCAGCACTGTTGCTGCAGCRAAGCACCCTGTGCTGCACGTGGCAGTCTGTTGAGAACTGGTAACAGGAGATCTGTTACTGCAGTGTGAAAGCATCCACTTTATTGCGGATATGTTTGCAGTGTTCAGGATCTTCCCACGAAGCGGATACTTTGGCTAACTCTGAGCTTATACAATGATTTGTGGCAGACTATCAATAAAGAGATGCTATTTTCATTTCCGAGCTCTGAGTTATGAATCGTGGCCTGTGTAGTGACCTTCCCCGCCRTGCTCCGGAGCTCGGTGCTCAGCTTTGGTGCAGTTGGTGACCTGGCTCCCTGGAGGGGCGGCTGCGGTTGTCCGCGGTGCCGAGCGGGACGTCGCGGCTGCAGCTTTGCCCTTTCCCGCCCTGTCCCGCGGCGCTGGGGCCGCCGGGGCTCCCGCAGGCTGCTGGGCAGCAGCTCTGCCCTTAACTCCTGAGCTCACAGCTCTGTTTGGTTGTTCAGATTTGGTAAATTAGAGCCTAGCCCCTCACACCTTGCACGTGGGAGCGCAAAGCCAGTGCCAAGGCATAACAGGACACCGACCTTTATGTGCTGGTGTTGGTGCCTCCCGTTCATAAGGTGGGGACCTACTGCAGCGGCTGAGGTATGAGCGGCCGTCTGAGGCAGCCCTAGGCGGGCAGCGTCGCAGCAAAGCAGGATATCAGGGCCAGGTTTGCTTGGGAATTCCTGCTATTTTCAACACTTCATTTTTTTTCACTTTGGATCATAAACAAAATTATTTGCAGTCAGGCTGCAATCTGTCTAGGCCCCCGTACTCTGGAGAGTCATCCTGAGGTAGGACAGACACATCAGCTAAGACCTTGCCYCATTTCAGCACCATTTAGTATTGTTAGCAACAAAGTATCTGGATGTTATCAAAATATTAAGACATCTGTGCAACATTAGAAGGTTTTGCTGACATGGACGGAATGGTAAAGCCACAGGTAACAAGAATCAACCTTCCCCTAGGATTTAGGGAAGAACCTTGTACCAGCAACGYGTGGGCGGCGCTCGATGGCTTTGGTTTTTATCCCCCCTCTTCGAAAAAAGTCGTTTTGTCTCCGAAAAAGAAACGAACTGAGGAAGCACATTGAAAGAGAAGCATCAATATTAGTATATCTGACAAAGCTGCCAAAGGGTTTTTGCAGGAAATTAGGAAATCCATCATTTTTCCTTTTACTTGACACATGCCTGTCTCTCCTGGATGCAGATGTCGCAAGGGTGAGTGTTACAGATAACAGCCTGTGACTGACTGACATCCCCTCCATATGGGGATAAAGATGGTTGCTCAGATGACAGCATTTTGTATATGGAACTGTCCTCTATTAGAATGTGAGAGGCAAGGGCAATATAATGTGTTTTACTGTCCTTTATTTAAAAAAAAAAAAAAAAAAGAAAATTTGAGTAAGAATTTGAATAGGCAAGAGTCACYCAAAAATCTGTTTCTTGCTTCTTATTCCTGTGATAATGAAACAGAGTTTAATTAAACTGGGAGGCTATATCCTACCTGAAATGCCTTTTCTCCCCCCACCTCTTTACTGCAGTGTTTCTGGATTATTTTATCTACCACTTACTAGTGCTTAACGCCCTTCTGAAGGCCGGGCCGGCAGTGCCAGGTGCTGCTCATCCATAAGGCAGGGAAGTTTCCTCCTCTCGGCGCTCCCTTGTCGTGCGCTGGGGGGTCTGTGATACAGGGCAGAGGTCGCGGCCCGAAGCCGAGCGCACGCGGTGGGATTTGGCCCGTGGGCTGCTCGCCCGGCGCCGCCGTCGCTGCGAGCCCGGGGCCGCCCGTGCGGTGCCCCCCAGCCCTGCCCCGCGAGGGCTGCCCCAGCAGCCGCCTCCCAACGGGAGCTTTTACAGCTGGCGGTTTTGTTGCTTCTTTTACTTACAACTGCAGAGCGTTAGACGTGCGACACAGTCGCATGAGCGAGAGCTTTTGCAGCCCTGGCTGAGCAGCGTCGTCCTCTCGTGCCCGTCATCCGCTGGTGAAGATGAGGTCCGTCATCCAAGAGAGGTTCTGTGCCGCGCTGGGCTTTCCAAGCCCACAGYTTGGATTAAAAGGAAAGACAGCTCACGTGTGACGAAACCCCARTTTAAACCCACAATTTAAGAAGCTCTGTGCTTCGGTGGCGATGCCTCATGGCAAAGGCTAGGAGCTGGGCGCTGCCTTCTGCTTAGGCTGGTGCTTTGCATCTGTGGCCCTGCCGGCTGCTGCGTCCGCCCAGGCCACCAGTCCCTGGCAGCCAGAACCTGTTTGCGAGGCTCCCCGCATTGCACAGGGACTCACGGCTGCTGGGAAAGGCTTCGTGTCAACCAAAGGAGGCCACAGCTGATGGACTCATTAAACCCACTCCAAGGCTGCAGGGTTTCGTTTGGTTTGGTTTGKTTTTTTGTTGCTTTTGGTTTTTACCGCTGCTTGCTTTCCTATTCTCAGTTGATTATCAACCGGCTTAAAGCCCTGTGTTTTAGATTCATATACTGATATTTTTAAAATGCTGTGATTTTCTTTATTCCCTTTTTTTCTTTTTCCATTTCCTTAAATATGTGACCCTCTTTAAAAGATCTTTGCCTTGTTATAGCCTTCCAGGATCTTTCGCTTCTCAAACACAAGATCAAAATATCCTTATGAACACAGTAACGTTCAGAGAAAGCAGAGGTTACAGTGATAAATYACCCAGTGGTCTGATCCAGAAGCATTTATTCAGATAGGCACCGAAACTTGTACCTGGTTCCTGCTCAACACTGCGAGAGAAAAGGAGCTCKTTAATCTTGGCATTCTCAAGATCCTTATCTAAGCAGAAAGCAGCTCCATTCACGGGCATTTAACTCGCAGCCCTTTGGGGCACTGAATGAATTACACTCSGTGATCTTTCCAGAGATACAGGTTTCTCAATAGCAACTTTCCATATGGGATGACCACCGATGGGTCCCTGAGAAACTGAAATTTCTCTTTGCAGCTTCATGGAGAAAATGGTAGGAAACCTGATAGCCAAGAAGCAATAGTAACATCTGAATTCCTCTCATCTTAGTGCTGGCCCTGGTTTTGGAAAACRATTTTTTTTTTTATACGAAACATATTTTTTTTTATACGAAAATCCATGATTACCATAAAGCTCAAGTCACATCTATAAACATTATGCAGGTGAAGGTTGCTGTTTTGACATATGGATTTTACTTTATGGACCTGCTGAAAATGAAATAGCAAAGTCTGAGGAAGGCCGTGAGAATGGGAAGGAAGCAGATCTGAACTGCTGGGTTAGGACAGGGTTTCTTAGTGGTTCCTAGAACTGCCTCACTTCTAATGAAGACATCTGGTGGACTTGCCTCTTTATATTAACTCATTTCACATTTATTTGCATTTTTATGTCACTAACTTCTTACAGATGGCCGGGTTATTGAAGCAAGCCCCTTGGTGACAAATGAAACAAAGGCTGAAAATGCAGCTTGAGGGAAGCTCTCGCCGAGCACACGTGTCCCGGGTGGTGGGGAGGGGTCTCCCACCCTGTCCGTGTCCGTGTCCGTGTCCGTGTCCGTGTCCTGTCCTGGCGCACCTGACTGCGCTGGCCTTGGGCAACGCGTTTCACCACTGGAGAGCAAAGCACCGGGCAGGGTTGTACCTGCCCCCAACAGCACTGAAATGTTAATTAATGTTTGCAAAGTGCTTTAAGGATAAGGTGTTATTTAAGTGCTTCCTATTCCTGCATTCTCAAACCCTCGCTTTGTTGGGTTCTTTAACTTCGTGTTATAAATTTGCCATTTAGTATGAGAGACACATCCCATTCTGTCTAACAGCTTAAACCCACAAATACTTTACAGAAAGGTAAGTGTTTATCAAAAGGCTGGGCTGTGTGCGCTCCATCAGTGGGAAGATACTATTTC